AATGCAGCAGATTAAAGTGCTGAAATGCCCCCTTTTTTGAAAGAATTGAAGTTTAAGACCCTTTTGCTTTGGCTTCACGTGTCAGAACTGGAGATTGCCGCCTGGTATTTACGCAAGAGGAACGCAAACATAACATTATTGATTATTTTACAAGCTAAAAAGTTTAGTTCCGTTTCCTCTGTCAAGTTCATAACCAGTTTTTAGATTTGCTGCTTAATCGCCTCACATTATTTGCTGCAGGGACATTACTAAGCGTATGGAAACATTCATAATTATGCAACTAAAAGCACCCATCATCAAAGTAAATTGAAATCAAAAACACTCGTACATCGTTACAATACATGGTTTAAAAGGCAACTAGCCAACAGACCAGGGTGCGGCTCTCTCAATCTGAGAAAATAATTCATTTGGGGGAGCGGCAGGCGGATGATTTATGCGTACACACAAAATCGGACGACATCAGAGACGAACTACAAATTTCTATACCACAACAACAAAAAACTGTTTTTCTATTTTTATTTTGGGTGATGACATTCAAAGCTTCATTTGAAAACCTCAATAAAAGCTTTGAATGTAAAAACTGGCATTCGGTACAGCCCTACACACAAAACATCTGTTTATAATGTCCATACCATAAACTATAAAATACATTTCTTGCCCATCTTAGGCACAATTGATTGCATGGGTGTGATTTCATATTAAATACCTCAGGCCATCAACTTTGCTGGATTCCCTGCTGTGTACATACCTCCTAAATGAATGATGCCTGGTGAATCATAGTGAAAGCGTATATATTCCACTTGTTACTACAGGAAGGAGGTATTTCCCAGCTGTATTCACAGAGCAAGTATGTACAGAAAGAAGCATCAGGGTATCAGCGTATTTGAGCGATCCAAATCATGACGGTAAAATTAGCAATAGCGCGTTACACACGGGTATCAAGCTGTAATACATTGTACGTAGGCTTATTGAACTGCAGAGTGCTGTGTTGGGCCCTGCATGCGAGTGCTAGACAGTAAATGGAAGCATAGTTATGCAAGTAATGAAAATTTAAACACAATCGAACACAAATACAGCAAACCCTAGAAAAATAAGGCCTGAGCTCACATTCTCCAGTGAGTGCTCATGTTTGAGGCTTTTGATGGACACGAGACAGCTGCTGCTGAGAACTGCTTAACAACAAGAGTTGATCGCCTTTACGCACTAAACATATTTGCTTAAGTGGTAATTTAATGGCTCATTGGTGTGAGGACCAATTCTTTAGGTTACTCCGGCTAAAAAAAACATTTTAAGTAACAATATTTATAGAAACAGAGCGCTGCCTAGCTTTGCATTTTAAACCCAATCCATTTCTTAATAAGAAGTGTTTAAGCCGCACAGAATGCGTCAACAGATTAGACTTCTCCGTCACGTGGAATCACTTCTTACTGATGAAGCATTACAATTGGGAGGAAGAGAAGTACTGATTAGAAAAGTTATAAAAGTATATATTGTACACCGACTGTGGCTAACTGGAGTGTAAGCAACACAATGATTCAGAAGAAATCACTTTCTATTGAGCCCATGTCTGTAATGCATTGTAAACATGTATAATGCATTATTAGCTGCTAATAGCATTGTCTGATCATAGTGACTCATGTTCCTTTATCACAATAATCACAACACATTATGCATGTATTATAACTACGGGAATTATAATGCGCTATGATTCTTGCAACAACAAAACATGTCTGAGTGACATGATGATACTTGAACTTATAAGTCATTATACAATTATTTATAATGCGTTATGATTATTGATATTTCTGGGTGCTTGTATATATATATATATATATATATAAATAATAGAGTGCGACAAGCAGATTATTATAATTTATGTAATTTTATAATTATACACATGGGCGCCATAGAAAATCTTAACTTCAACACAAACTAAAAAAGGTTATTAATTGTTGGTTAACAAGCTACATACAGTATGTCTTTTCTTTAATACCTAATCTGCATATTATCATCAACTTTTTATAAATTCTCAGACAGAAACTGGATGCACATTGATTATACATTGTTTTCCATCATGTTTACTTTACATACTGTCAAGGCTTTTGTTTTCTGGTATTTACCGAAGAGTCAAATTGTTTGCGTGCAATAGACATCCACAAAATGGGGGGAGTGTGTGAGTGTGTGTGTGTGTGTGTGGGCGTAGGGAACAGCTCAGCGACGTATGACGTAGTTGGGACGTGGTGACGTCTCTCATGCGCGAGACTCAAAATGGCGGGTAGCCAACAGAAGACCCGGCGTCTATACGTGCCGGTAGCCGTTTAGCACGTAGCTACATTAGCTCAAAGCTATATGTGTGTGTGTGTGTGTGGATTAGTAAAAGAGAAGGGAAAGGAACAAAACAAAATGAAATAAAACAAAAGATTAAGATCCTCTGCACCGCGCGGGAGTATGGAAGATTGCTCTCTCAGCCAGGGGAGCAAGAACCGCGACTCTTTGTCTCAGCCGGTGGTTTTGACCTCCTGAACTGATGACAAGCAACTTCGACCTCACTGCGGCTGTCTCGACACGAATCATGGTAGCATGAAATACACGCTAACTTCTACACAACACCAGCAATTTCAGTGATCGCCAGTGTCGGTGATCATAAAGCATATACCACGTTATCAAAATGAACAGTACTTTAAGCACACAAACAAGATAAAATAAACACAATTGAACTCTCTCTAACTCTGCCCAGACTCTATTTCGCCTTATGGTACGATGCAATCGTGGTGATTGAGGGGGGGGGGGGGTTCTTCTGAGGGGTTCTTCTGAGCTTCGTTGGCCCAGGCAGCGCGGCTGCGGGCCGCTGGAGGTGTTCTCTCGGTAGGAGAGAATCGCTTTCGTCTGGATAAGGGATTTTCGCATCCTTATGGCCGGAGCAAACGAGGCACTTGGTGGAGAGTGGAAGTTCTCTCTCTCTCTCTCTCTCTCTGAAGAAGTCTTGCTTCTTCAATTCTGCAGGACTAAAAAGGGGTTTGCTTCGTGGATACGAACAAAGATAAAATAGACAGTTTGGTGAATTCGGCCAGCGAATATAAACTGTTAGACCTAGGATTTGGATGAAAAGGGAAAAAACGTTGGTGTGCTCCCTAGCTCGACGGAGGTCGAAGGGAAAAAGCATTGAGGTGGGGGTTGCAGGTAGTTTTGTAGAAAGGGTGGCTGAACCACAGGGGTCCTGGGTTGTCTTGGCTCTTGGCCAAATTAGATTGCAGCGCTGCTTTCAGGTAGCTTCAGGAACACATAGTTTTTGGGGGGAGGAAACTCACACCCTAATGTGAATTTCTTCAGAGCTGGGGGGTTTGGTGCTCATCAAACTACAATCAGGATGAAACCTTTGCTTGCAAAAGGGAAGGCCTGACTCTCTTTGTTCCACAGCACATGTCGAAGCCATATAGTCAGATTCCAACAACGTGTTGGTGGCATCACAGAGCTTTGCATCAATTCATGTCATATCGCAGAAGTAGTCAAGTCACAGCACAGGGGTGAGCCAGGAACAGTATTTAAAAATAAGTGTTACGGATCAGTAAGTACAGAGAATCAATATCTGCAAAAAAAAACAAACACTGCAGGTGTGATCAAAGCCTGATCAATAAACCGACGATCTGTCTCTACGTTTGAATAAGTAAAAGATACGTCTGTCTCTCAGTGGCACACACAGACACACCTCACTGCACACAGCAAATGCTCTGGTAGATATACAAGAGTCTGAAGAAACATTCAGTGCAACACAAACAGGATTGTGCTCCTATATCAGCTGACCCATCATGTGTAAGTATTCGGCCCTGATCCACAATAGTAGCCTGGTGTGGATCAGGCTTTTTCGCATCGAAGTGACTCCACTTTAAATATGAAGTGCAGCTCGCACCGTCCATCATCACACACTCACTGGTAACATCTGCCCTCTGATGAAACACAGCTGACCATAATAGCAACGGTGAAACACCAGTAGCTGAATAAAAAAAGAAAAACTTCCCACGAAAGTGTTTCACTGTTGAAATATTAAAAGCACTGTGCCGAGTCTTCAGACAACAATCCACAAGTAGCCAAACAAAATCTCCAAAACTCTCACAAAGAACAGGTTCTACAAAAAGTCATCAGATGGTTAAACCATCGACTGTTAAAAGTTCCCTTAAGTAATGTACTACAGGATAACCATCCAGTACACAGACGTGACCGGTGGGTGTTTCTGCACCTGTCCAGACATGAGTTGGGGGGGAAAGCCCTGTTGCAGTAGCCAGGATGTGTCAATTCAGAGAGCAATTCAGATGAAATAGCAGTGAATCCTGGTGCTTTGACGGATGCCATTGGAACTTACTCCTGTGAGGAAAATCGGAGTCTAGTTTTACAATATCATTGAAAAAGCATCTTTAGAAAACAAACTATTGCTATTTTTCCACCACGAGCGACAAAAAGCAACCTAGCAGTCGAGCTTGGCCACATTGTCCCTGAATCACCATAGAAGTGTTGCTCAAGCGCTGGTTGACGAAGTAATGCCGTTAAATAGCACTAAAGACTGGCTAACGGCATTTTCTTTAAGATGGTACGAAGCAGGGTGAAACAAAAACCATATGATCGGTTGACGCCTCACCGCCTCATTGGAGAGCTGAAAAGCCGCACGTCAGGACGGTGTTATCAACTGTAATAAATGGAAAGTGGCGGCCATTAAGTAGCCATTGGGGCACGCTCACATGCACTAAAAAGCACACGTGTAAACATACAACACACTAAGAGGGAGAGTGACCTCTGTGTAGTACTCCACCATATCTTTACATAGCAAATAGTTGTTTCATATTATATGAAAGCTCTGAATATCGTTTAAAAAAAAAGCACCTTTAAAGCACACAAATTACTGCCGTGATCTTAAATTCTACAAACATCAAAGACTTCATGTCACAATTTGAGGTTGTTTAAAAGGTGTTGTGAGAGGCTCTCCTGCTTTGAGAACTCGTAATACTGACCCGTATTCGCTGCACCTCCAAGAAGACAGCTCTTTGGAAGGACTTCTCCCAGATAGCCAGGTCCGTAGCCAGCTCTACCCTGAAGGTGTGGCTCTGGCCGTGGCCGACCAGAATACTGAAGCAGAGGGACTCGTTGTCCTGTTGCTCAGGCGAATGCTCCAGCCCCAAGTAGAGCCTCGCCTGGAGCCAGCAATCCTCTGCCATCCACAGCTGTAACACAAAATATGAATCATTACATGCTGGGGGAAAAATGATTTCGCTGCCCACTTTCAATTAAATTCAGTGGGTGGAATGAAGGGTAAACAAAGAACTTTCACAGTGTGGATTTCCTGGTTCGCCGATCACAAATATCACCTCAGGTCAAGAGAGCCCTGTTTAGTAGGCTCCCTCAAACACTATTCCATCTGATAAAAAGAGAAGAGGCAGCCATCTATACTGAAGGTGAAAGCTGCAGTGATCACATTTTGAACACCCCTGCTGCACATCACAGCACCCCTGCTCTTAACTTACCTTGTGGACCTTGAAAAGAACCTCATAGAGGTTATACGTTGTTACAGCTTCTCCCCAGTCAGCGGCACTGATCTAAGAAATTAAACATAAAGGAACATGACATGAGGAGGCAGCCTATCAAAACAAGTTGGGGGTTTTTGTGGCACTTGATTGCAGCACCTCCTTATCCAAATACTCAATGCAAATGAAATGAGTGAGAAAGAGATATACATCATTTTATGTGTAAATAATTGAATCTTTACATTTTGATACCATAACGTGGTTGCTATATGATTTCGTTTTTATAATTCTATAAAATTCAAATTATATTTTATCTGATAACTTGTATAATCGTCAACCGACGCTGGTTGAATGCGCATCACCCGGTCCACGTTCCACTCATCTGGTGTATTAAATGGCTGTTTCCTCACTGCGCTGCATACTTCTTATAAACTATGATCATGTCGCATCTCTCGCCGTTGTTGAGGCGCCGTCTCACTCTTCCTGGAGTTCCTCTACTCATAGAACTGAAGCTACATCCAGTAACTACAGTTTTCTTTTGTCAATTTGTTTTGCTGTTTTTTGAAGAACATTAACAGCAGTTTTTGCAACTTCATTGTAGACGATTTAGAACGATTGAGATATTAACGTTTCACAGTGGGAAAAGCACATAGGTGTAGATAATAAAATCGATGGCTGAATTCCATTTAGCTGCTCCAGTTTCAGCCTCCTGGTGTTGTCATGCTGGTTCACTGTCACACCATCTGTACTTTCCTGAGACAATTGAACAGAACGATGATATTGTTGATGTTCCAATATTCGTAACACCTTTGCTTCCCCTGCTACGACAAGTCAAAATGTCTTATGAGCTATGAGGCAAGTCCATGTCCGAGTTGAATGTCTGCAGCCAGTTCTGACAGATGACCATAGACCAGATCATTATGTCACGGATATCATGACATCATGGATAACCAAGTTACAAAGATGTAATTATGTGTGCTGACTTGTAGTTCTTTTCAATGCTGTAACTACAATATTACGTCATAATTACTGTACATCAACTTCTACTCCTAATCAAGTGCTGTAGTAGATATTCATATTGTAAAGCGTCCTGAAAATACAGCTAACTGTGTAGAATTACGGTACAAGAAGTACCCTTCAAAAACTCTTGGGCAGTTCTTGAGCAGGGTCACAGACTTGGATAAGATACTCATCCCGTTGTCGTGTGAAGGACTAATTTGAGTGGTGCTTGTAATGTATCTAGGCTGAAATTAATGACTATGCCAAAAGTTTGCAGTGTGCTGCACTGACCACAATATATTTTTACATAGCACGCACACCAACTGCGACCGGCAGGAGGCTTCTGATTTTCCAGGGCGCGTTTCATTAAAGCGCATGCTCTAATGCTAGCCTGCTATATATTCAGGTCCTCTCTACCTCTGGGATACTGGCTGCTGCCACATTTACACAAAAGCCGGCGGACAGGTGCTGCATTTCACACCAGCTGCGTAACGCTTTCAGCTCACCTAACCATGATTTCGACGACTGTACAATACGCCCACTATGTTTAGGCCTAATGCAATCCGTTTGAATTATGTCTGATGACTTCTCTCACCAACAGCTCGTCAACATGATTGCCTTGTCCCATTTGATTGTTCTGTGTCGAGTAAAACAATGCTCTGCATTCGGACGGACTTAAAAAAAAAAAAAAAAAAGTACCGACTTCACCAACTTAAAATTACTGCATCAGAAAAAAAAATCTTATTTAGCCTGTGGAAGGTTCAGCTTGAAGGAGAAATCAGAGACATTTCCTGCTGCATTAAGACAACCAGTGTACCATATATGATCCACTAAGGTTTTTCCTTTATGTTAAGTGTCTTTGCAGAGATGGTTTAAACTAGCAATATTTATTTAAAGCCGAACACTTGCAACCAAGTAGGCACAGAACATTGATAACTGAAGTCTCTAGAGTGAGGCATCACTCACAGTGCTGTAATATTGATGGTTTTCCCTTTGCTGTGGCGACGCCCCTAGCAGAACGAAAGACAGTCTGCCTCCACACAGGCCTGTTTGATGGCATCAACAAGCTCAGTTTGAGTGTCTGTGCTTGAACGAGGCCAGACTCTCGTCCCTGCCTTGGAAACAAACCGCTGGAGTTTCCCTCTCTTATCTTACACGCAGCAAGAAATGTAGAGAGGGAATTGACAATATGTGCCGTACAGACAGTCGTCTTATTCTACACAGTGAACCAGTGTTGGAGGCTTGGGCAGACTGGAGAATACAGAACTCCAGATGCAACGCGTTGGTCCACAGCGGGCACATAATCCATGTTCACCGATACGTTACTCATGGATGCGAGAGTTGCGTCAAGCATCCGCGTTGTCCTGGCGAGATGAAGCTGGTGTCAGTGGCGGGTCGAGGTGTGGTGGTGGCAGAATTCTCCAGCAGAGCAGCTGGCCGACCGTCTTAGCTCTGTGTCACAGAACTCTGCTTTCTCGCCGACAGTGAAACAAGATCAACACCACTCGGATGTTTGTACGGTAAATATGAAGCCACAGCCAGCAGCCGTTTAGCTTAGCTTAGCATAACGGACTTTTCACCTGCATGCATCTAAAGCTAGCTCAAACGTGATTGGTCAATACTACTCGGACTACAAACCGAAACCAGAACGCTTCCGATGCCAAAATCTCTTTGCTGCAGATTCTGCATTCATATGCACATACCTGTTTTACAGAGACTACACTGGAAGCAGCATCATATCATCCAGATACTGCATTTCAGCTATCAGGCCATCCATTGTCCCTGTCCTGCTGTCACTGACACCACACGGTGACAGACAAGCTCCTCAAAATAACACACTTTCTAGAACCTCACAAAGAGTAATTGGGAACCTTTAAAACAGAGGTGAGCCACAACAGCTTGTCAAACAGAGTTAAAGTATGATGAAAGCTCTCCCACAGGAGGAAGGACAGACCAACACAGACTGAACAAATCATAACGTGCACACCCTACCGTGGCACAACACATCACAGCGTCCAGAGAGTAAACACGATTAACCTGCGGACACACTTGCCAAATGAAGTAAGAGGATGAAAGAGGCACATTCTGGACTACAATGGTTTTTATACTAATGGGGGAACAGGGCTTATGTCATATCACAAAGACAACACAGAACAAAAGGCCACCTTCCTTTTGTTCACCAGCCCTGGCAGTCAGGCGGAAACATTTTAAAGTGATACTGGACCTGCATTAAACATCATCTGTTGGCCAGCAGCCACTTAGGATTTCTCTCAGACCACTTGTGGATGGGAAACACTTTCTAAATTATACAGGGAAGTATTGGTTTCATTGCACATTTGATCTGCTCATTCCATTTTCACAATGCACAGGAGATTTAATTTAGGTAGCATACTGTGTCTCAGGGGATTGATGTCAAGCTAACCCTAAAAAGATTTAATTAAAGTTGGCATCAGTGGAGAATATTAAGTATCTCGTTGTGCAAAACCTGCAGCCTTACAGGCTTTTCCATGCCTGGCAAGAGTACACATATTGAGGTCCAAACTGAATACGTTTTTGAAAAATAGTGAAACGTTAAGACAATGAATATCGGATATACTGTACAATATTGCCCATCATAGGCAGTAGTCTTAAAATATACATACTGGCAATAGCATGCAAAGACTCATTACAAATACATGAAATGTATTATACATATGATGCAATCACATTTAATTATTAAGGCTATAAAGCCTCGAGGGCATTCATTACCATGATTGTGTTAGTACTTTGATGATGAGCTGCATCTTGCACCAGTGGGGACAGAATGCATAATGCAACCAAAAAGAGTGATCGGCTGCAACTATCGGTGAGATGTTACATTAAAAAAAAGACCTAAGCAGGTTTTAGCAATATTATGTTGTGTATGGGTGACACTGCTAAACTAATGAACACCGGAGCAGCTAATATTACGGATTAATACACTTTAGACCAGATTGGAATGAAATCAGTCAGTATAGATTACAGCTGGAATAGAAAACTGCAATTTACTAGTGCGGTTTAATACTTCAGACGTGGCAAAAATCAAAACTTGCTTAAAAGGTGCACGTGAAACATATGGCCAGAATTTGAGTTTAAAACATTCATAAAGTAACATCAAATATTGGCTATTTAGCTCAATGTATCGTTAGTGCAACTAATCGCGACACAAACCATCCCGAAAAACATGGCGTCCATATAGCCAAATGATTGATTTATAGTTTTGATGTGGCTGTTTTCTTGTTACCATGGTCTTGCTAAACCTGAGCTCAGTAAGCTATAACGTACAGCACAGGCTGATGCCACGCGTAAGTTAGTAGTTTAAAAAAAAAAATGGACCCAGTAGCAAGGTTTTGAATTGTACCTCTATTTGTTGTGAGCATGTGGCCAGATATTACACATTGCACCTTTTACTAATGCAGTGCATCAAATGTGATATGTGTTGACAGCTCTCCTTAACATCACGTTGTAAAAATGAAAACAATAGTGCATAATCATGTATAATCCCTGTTCCACTGACACAACAGTCAGCCATGATCACAACAAATATAAATTCAGCTGCCTGTCTTCTCTTATTCAATTATAACTGACGCATACAGTATTTTACAGATGCCGCCAAACTTGTTTCAAAAGCACAGCCCGTGCAGCGCGCTAGGGGACGATAACAGATCAGTGAGCAGCAGCATGAAATGTGACAAAAAGGCCCTGAACACATTCTTATGCTGAGCTGAATCAACAGTATTAATCATTTGCACATGTGTGAGTGTAAGTTCTGTGATAAGGTTCAGATATTTTGGACAAAACCCATTTTGAAATTAGCTTTAAATCAGATCTGAATGATTATAGTACAGTTTTTCCAAATCGGAAAATGATGAAAGTCTAGTTACCGGGGGGCTTCTGAAGATATAAAAATATGGTCCTCTCAGTGCCAGAAACTTGAATGCTGAAGCTCTACCAGCGGCGCGGCCCTCTGGGCTTTCACTCGCCCAGCCCATGTGAACAATCTGTAGAGATACAGAGGATGACATTTACACAAGTTTACCATTTGATTTTTTATTTGATTTTTTTAAAGGAGAACAAATATGCACAATAGACATCTATGCTCAATAAACAGACCAGAATAGCTAAATGTGCTTTGAGTTAAAGAACTACAATGATTCATCTTTGACGGGATACATTTGAAAGACACTGTACAGTGGTGCTGCAGTCTCAGCTGCAATGCAAACATGTACCTTTTATCTACCTCAGACTGACTTGGGATATTCCTCTGCTTCAATGTAAGCAGCATATCTGTACTGTATGTACTGTGCTGCTTCTTCTGCTACACTCCATCTACACTGGATCTTGTGATGAATAATGCACATCAATTTTTACATGCCGGTCTTGACTCCTTCCAGACCATCTGCTGACTGAAGTGTTCAAAAATGTTTCCAAACTCTTTCTTGGCCTCTGGATAAATCCAGAGCTGCCAGGACAGCTGCGGGCGTACGCAGGCGATACGATTCCGTACACCTGTACTGTGTAACATGTTCCTGCAAAGAACGCTGCGAGTGAACAGCGGGGGGGGGGGGGGGGGGGGGGGGGGGGG